CTTGGAGAGCTTGAACGAAGCTGAAGAATTAATCCAGCGAGATCATGCCAACCAATCGGACATGAGAAGTCTGGTGACCTGGGGCAACTATGCCTGGGTGTGCTACCACCTGGGAAGACTGACAGAAGCCCAGACTTACCTGGACAAGGTGGAGAGCACTTGCGAGAAGTTGGCAAGTCCTTTCCGCTATAGAATGGAGTGTCCTGAGATGGACTGTGAGGAAGGATGGGCCTTGCTGAAGTGTGGAGGAAAGTATTACAAACGGGCCAAGGCCTGCTTTGAAAAAGCTCTGGAAGCAGACCCTGAAAACGCTGAATTCAGCACCGGGTATGCAATTGCCACCTATCGTCTGGATGGCTTTAGTGCAGCAGTAAAAGGCACGGAGGGGTTGTCTTTGCACCCCCTAAGGCAGGCCCTCAGGCTAAGTCCAGAAGATGCATATATTAAGGTTCTCCTTGCGCTGAAGCTTCAGGAAGTAGGACAAGAAGCTGAAGGAGAAAAGTACGTTGAAGAAGCTCTGACCAATGAGTCCTCACAGACTTATGTCTTTCGATATGCAGCCAAGTTTTACCGGAATAAAGGCTCTCTGGATAAAGCTCTTCAGCTCTTACAAATGGCCTTGTAGGCAACACCCAACTCTGTCTTCCTGCATCACCAGATAGGGTGTTGCTATAGACAACAAATGAATAAAATAAAGAAAGCTGCCAAGTTGCAGCCTAGCAGAGTGGTTGAAGAAAATGCAGACAGAATGATGAGATTAGCCATATTTCATTTTGAACTGGCTATACAGAAAAAGCCGACATTTACATTAGCTTATATGGATTTAGCCAACATGTATACAGAGCAAGGTGAACAGCAAAAGGTTGAGGACACGTACCAGAAAGCACTCACCCTGCATGATGGTAATAAGAGCCTATTGCAGGAGGTCCATTATCGTTACGGCTACTTTCTGGAATATCACAAGCAATCTGAAAATGATGCAATTACCTACTATTTAAAAGCACTAGACATAGAACCACAGTCAAATGCTAGACAAAAAATTCTCAGGGCTTTAGAGAAGTTGGTTAACAGGCGAGTTCATCAGAATAGATCTGATGAGGAGAGTTTAAATCTCCTTGAGCTCGTTCACAGATTGAAAGAGGGAAGAGAGTGAAGCTCTGATGTCCTAGGAGAGACCCTGCACCTGGATGCTGGCCTGAGGCCTGTCTTCAGAAATATTAAATGTTAACATATCTAAATCTACCATCATACAAATCTTTCCTCATTAGTGTCTTCAAGAAGGTGTGACAGAAAAGATCACAAAATAGTTGGGTGGCACATTGCAGTGTCGCCTCATAAAACACTTTTAGGCTAATGAACAGCATTCTACTGAAGGGGAGAAAAATTAAAACTTTATTTGAAAAAATAAACTGAGAATCATTGGATTGAGAATCATCAGTCTAGACAAAGCCTCTTATTTAACCCTTGAAGAACTGAGGCTCATGTGGATCAATGGTCTTATTAACATCACCCGGTTAGTATGTCAGTTACAGAACTTATCCTGGAATCTCGCTCAAGTAGGAACCTGTTCAGCGAGAATACATTTCCTTGTCCACTTTCCATTGTTTTTTCGTACTAATAAACTTATACACACTTGATCAGCTGTTTTCTTCCTCCTGAAGGCTGCTTTTTCCTGTGTGTCATGGGTCTGTTTATCTAAAGGACATATATTGCAACTACAGCAATGTTGCCCCTTATTGCCCAATTCTAGAGGGGCAGGTGAGGCCCTCTGGGGGGCACCACCAAGGATGTCTAAGGCAGATTCTGGATGAACTGGGACTAAGGATGTTTGCTAAAGGAGAGACTTAAGGTAGTACCTAATCTTACCTTCTAAGCAACTGGATTAGGAACTCGACACAAGGCTTTTCTACGTCCAAAGCAACCATTGTAGCTCAAGGGAATTTCTTGAACCTTCCAACATGTTTGAACAAATGCATATGCTGGGAGAGTATGGTGCTACTGTACAACATTTTATAGTGGTAGGTGTAGAGGCTCTTTAAACATATATCTATGCACCAGCACAGGTACCTGATCAGCCAACTCATACACAGGGAAAGGGTATAATCAAGCTCCGTACCTCTGGCTCTCTGGGTCTAATCTGTCCTCAGGTGGTCCCTGGAAAAGTCAGGGGCTAGTTCTTACCTACCGGGCAGTCAATAATTGATGACATTCACAGATGCAACTGAGAAGACACCTAAAAAAAAGTCATTCTTGATAAGACAGTAAAGATGCATAGCACATACTGGTGCCCCTATCGCATAAAACTTCCTGTTTCCACAGTACCAATTTGGTAGTTAGCTGGCAATTTCACAGTCACACATTCCCTCTCATTGGCTTTTGCAGACTTACCATGACTCGATATATAAGAACTGTTTGGTGGTCCTGGGCCTGAGCTTTTCCCCAGGTTGTGCAGCCAGCACTATTGCACACTACAGGAGTAGCCACAGAGCCCCTCCTGGGCTAGGCCTGCTCTCAGAGTAGACAGTCCTGGGAGTATTCTCTGAGTAGAGGAACTAACAGGACTATGATTCTGCCAACATTTAAGTTTAAAGAACAAGAGTTAGTCCAAGAAGTTTTTCAAGAACCTCAGAAAGAGGTAAATATCCCTTCCTCTGTGTTTGCAAAGTCATAACTGGGTACTGCTTTTGTTGAAATCAGACTAAGTGCTTATGAATCTGTCTCTCCTGGTAGATGGCAAGTCACGTGAGTAGAGTCTCAAAAGAGAACAGGGCATGTTACTAACAAACACGCAAAGTCTTCAGATTTTTGTAATGGATATTGAACTCACTGCAACAAAGGCAGCCTTGGGTGTGCCAACAATCTGTTTGGATCACCACTTCCTTAAACATCTATGGGCTCCCCAGATCCATGGGAAGGATCTAAGTACTGCAACTTGGTTTTTCGGCCCAATTTAGCATCCTAAATTTCAATTACAACTAGAAAATATCTTCCCTTCTTCTCATTCCCTTTTAGACATCGACTCTCCAAGTCCCAGGATATTTCAGACACATCTAAAAACAATTTGTCCCCAAGAAACCTGAGGATTTTTCCCATAGACATTATACATCTACACATTATCTTGAGCCTCGTTCAATTGTGTAAATGTTCTGTAAGATTGACATAGACAATTCCAGGTGAATGAATATTTGAAATGTAAAAATGAGACCATGAAAATGCAGTTAGAACTGGAATACATAGGAGTCAGCTAGGAAAGTAAATCATGGTGGGCCAAAGATAGCTGTCAAGAAAATTACTGGGCCTTTCAGAGCAGTGAAAATTACTGGGCCTTTCAGAGAAGAGAAGTTCTTGGTAGCTGAGTATTTTCTCTGTGGACGTGACTGGCACATGTTTGCAAACATGAGTATTCTCAGAGAAAAACATCAGACACTGTCTGTAGAGATCAATACCATTTGATCTACATTCCTTTATGGAACTGTGTGGATTATTAAGATGCACATGGGAAAACCAAGACAGAGAACAATGAAGATTCTGAATGACAGCCTCATAGAAAGATGCATAGTTACTGGGAATGAGTCTATGATCCATAGCATTTAGACCTGAAAGGGACACAAGGATCATCTGGAAAGTATCTCTCCAACTTTAATGTACCAACAAATGACCTGGACATGTTAAAAGGCAGATTGTAATTCGGTAGGTCTGTGGAATGGCCTGAGATTCTGCATTTCTAAATATTAATTGATAATGATGCTGGTCCACAGACGATACTCTGAGTAGCAAAGATCTAGTTCAGTGGTTTTAAACCATGTTCGAATATCACTTTCGGGTTTCACTTTAAAAAAACTACTCCACATACTGATGTGTGGGCTTCACTTCCAGAGATTCTAATTTATTCAACTGGAGATTGGCTCAGGCATCAGTATTTTTTTAAGATTCCCGGGAAACTTTCTAGTTTGCAGCTAGAGTTGCAAACTACTGTTTGGGACCAACCTTTTTGTATAGCTCGTGAGGCAACTGAGAGTTTAAGTGAAATCAAGTTCATTTAGTTAGTCAATCAAACACAGCTGGTCCTACAATCCTGATAGTAGACTCATAATGCAGAGCTTAAGTTTCATTTCTGTAAGTAGGAATCTGCCCATTAGAAATGAGTTTCCCTTTCTAGTTTCCATTGCCTATTTTCTATTTGTAAGCACACACATGAACATACACACACACACACACACATTCTCTTATATGCTGTGATGGCTGTTTCTTCTCCTTAATGCTGCTCTGTCCTATGTGGTTCATGTGTCTGTTTATGCCAAGGACAAGATTCTGCATACCTAATCAGCTGAGCCAGATCCCCACAGAACCAGGACGGCTGCCAAATTCATAGTGACCACGTGATAAATGCTTCCTCTGTTTCTCTGATACTCTGTTACAAAGCAATAATTCTGTCCATGAAAATTCTAGAATCATACTGGTATCAGTGTAAGCAGTTCTTCTATTGCTCCTTTCAGTGTTTGCTTATGTTTCTATCCCTTTCTTTCAGAGCTGGGTTAGGGCTAGTGCCTTGAAGAAAATATCTGCACCTGAAACTTGAATCAGCCTGCTGGGAGACCCCCATCTGATATAAAGAGCTAAGAGAAAGTGATCCCCCTTCCAACATCTCTTCTCCCCCTGCACAAGTTTATCCCTACTAAGGGGATGGATGCCTGCTGCCCAAGAGAGGCTGCCAGGCTCTTGCTTAGGGTATACAGGGCTCCCTGACCTGAGCCCAAAGGTGGGGGAATATGAAGATTGCCCTGGCCTGAAACTCAGAACAGTACACCCTTATCTCAGCTGCTGGACAGTCAGATGTGATCTGAGGCCCCTCCCTCTCGGTGCCCACTGGAAAAAACTGGAATGGGGAAGGGCTCAGCTGATGGTCAGCACAGACTCCCCACGTGGAGGGACTTGTCCCACACAGTGAAAGCAACACTCACAACTACTGAATGCTCTTAAATGAGACATGCTTTCCTTGCAATGT